ACATTTTAAAGCAGATACAGTGATGTCACTGCAGGAAAACATCACAAAAACATTGCAGCAACAGGATCTCTTTCAACAGAGGCCTGGTTGACTCACTCTCACAGCTGCAGCAAAGTAGTCCAATGTGTTTCTGGAGAGCATTCTTGCTTGTGAAGTCTTTATTGGGACACTCTGACTGCAGGGAAATGCAGCCGCTTTTCATTTCTTGTGGCAGTCAGAAAGTTTCATTGAATATTTCTGAGCTCTCAATCTCTTCCAAAACACATGCTGAATTTCCTGGCTCTCCTCCTTAAAATCTGGTCTGGGTTTCTACCCCTGTCACCTCTCAAATTACTTTATGTGCACATAAATTAAAAACAAACAAAACAAAACAAAAAAAAAACAAAATAAAAAGCATTTTGATTTTTCAAAATTAATTTTCAACTGTTTTTCACTAGTTCGTGAATTTTTATATGCAATCACTTTTATGTTTAAATGATCTGTATTATGAATTTATAACTGGAATCCAGCAAAGTTGAAACAGAAAGATTTGTCCTTTTGCTATTAGTAATGCAACACTGCCAACTAGAGGCATTGGTAACAATCAAATTTTTGTCTTACTGGCCACATCAATAAAGAGATGCATAACCTGTAAATACTAAAAGATCATATTTGCGCTAGAGAAATCCCACCCAAGTCCTCCAGCTACAGCAGTACTTGCATTTCATTTTCTTTAGATATTGATGTTTCAGTATACCATTTATTGAATCCAAACACCTCATCACATCATCCAGAAACTCAAATATAATCATGTCAGATATCAAACTCTTTGGCTTCCTCAAAGAGTTACTGAGCCATTCTAACAGCTTTTGGAAATATGCCCCTCCACAACACACTGTGAATGTTAAAAAAAAATTAAAAATTATGACTTTGAGGGCAAAGTAAATTCTAGATATCATTTTCTCAGCCCACAATTTCAGTAAGACTTCATAATTTGTTGGAATAAAGAAACTATAGTCTATTCAGGTGGTCTGAAAGGTAATTTCTGTATAAGCTTTCAGCTCTGTCAGATGACGTACATTTTGAGGAAGGTGTTTATTCACAGCTGAAGCAGTCATTGAAAAGAGAGAAAGACTGAAAGACTGAAAATAGAGAAAACATGCCCTTGACCAGAAAGGCTCAGCCACAGCCTGCTGCATGTGGTACCCTGACATGTATGTGCTTGTTAGTTCCCTGTATGAGAGGAGACGTGATGCAAAGCCCTCGATGTTCATGCACCACACACAGACTGGAGCTGCCTGGGCTCCGTGCCACTGCCCTTGCCCTCTTCCCTGCCATGCCCATGATGGTGGGGAACACCAGCCCACAGCTACCCAGGATGCAGCAAGAGGAAGCTGGAACAGAGGAGGACAGGTACCTTCTGCAGGTCCTCATGCCAACCAAGGTCCAATGAAGCTTTGGGGAAACAGTCATTCCAGCCACTCCCATCCCTCTGCTGCCATATGACCAAATCAAACACAACCCTGTGTGTAGGCGGAGTCTGCTGGCAGGGAGAGAACTGGGAGCCTTGAGCATGCAGCAGGCTTATCGCTACTCTCCAGACTTACAGCATGCAGGACATGCAACTCTCCCCTTTTCTAATTAAGGACTGCAAAAGGTGGCAAGCCTTCACACCCCTTTTCAGTAGCCGGGATCTCTCCAGCCATGGGCATGGAGTGCACTGTACCCCTCCTCTGGGCTGGCAGTGTGTGCCCTGGGGTGCACCAGCAGCTTGGGAGGCCAGAATGCCTTCCAAGGCTTCCCCTGGCATGACTAGAACCACACTGTAAGAGGAAGATCCACTGGTAGAAGGGCAAGCTTTGCCTGCCACGGCTCACACAACATTAAATAAACAGTCCAGAACAGTTTGTACTTTTGGACTGAAGGGAGGAACCAACATCTAGCACTGGTTTCTTTTTATTTACCAAAACACATTTATTCCGTAAATCTCAGCAAAATTTATGAAAAATAATAAATTACATTTTTCCCCTTGCAGTCTTCAAAGCTTTGTATCTATAAAAAGTTCTGGGAAATCTGAGAAGCCTAGAGGGCAGGAAAATAATCTTGTTGGGAAGTGGAAGCCAATAGACGGTAGTGACTCACAGAGGCACAGAACTGCAGACAGCTGAAAGTAAGGCACCAATTAAGCCTGAAACCAAGTTTTCCAGGTGCTGTGCCACAGGGCAGTGTAAGGATGGAGGAGTTAGTTTCCAAAAAAAAGCAGAGTAACCTCTGGAGGAGGTTGGAGGTGACAATACTGGAATAAGATGTAGACTTAGAAGTGAAAGCCTGGACATTGGCCTGGGAAGCAGACAATACGGGTTGCAGCCAGCATTAACCACTGTAAAAACTACTTCAATAAATGTTTTTCCACTTATATTATTATACTTGTGTTCCATAACAGTGTCTTTACAGGAATACAAAGCTACAAAAGTACAGTGGTCCAGTGGAAGCAAACTGCTGGGGCACAGACGACACTGGAGTAGTTTGTTCACTTGAGCAGTACCTGGAGCTTTCCTTTTAGGAAAGGGGGCTAGGGGGAAGTACATCTGTTGTGAATCAGCTTGTAATACCAGAAGCCCTATTTCCACAGTTGTGACTATTTTGAAAGACACAGTCAGAAACAAACCAACATGTCATATCTAGATTTCTCTAAATGACTTTGTTGAAATTATTCAGAAATTTTCTAATCAGGATTTTTGGCTGTCCATCAAAACTTGAGTCCAATAGACATTTGTAGGGTTTTTCCACTTATTCCTTTTTGGCAGTGAAAGCTAATGCTCAGCAGTCTAAGCTTGTAGTTCTCTGCTCTGGTACCATGTGCTGCTTGAATGCACCCTGAGGTCCAGACCCACTCCACACCAAATACCTGTGTTAGGAGTCAGAAGTACCTCTCATCCATGAAAATATGTGTTCTGTGAAGCTTTCTCCTACTGTTTAGTGTAAAAATTATTTGGGCATTTGTGGTGGTGCATCTCCAGGCCACACTACAATCTCCCTGTGTAATCTCCTAATTAATTTTGTATTGATTTACAGAGACAAACTGATCGTATAAAAGCCTTTTGCAGAGTTATCAACAGAGGTTGCAGGAATGACTCTGAATTACACCTGTCACAGGAGCTGTGATCTTATCCCTTGCTCACACATGAACTAAGGCAGAGTTGGACAGAGTAAGAACTTCATCAGCAATGTCATATATGCAGCACTCTGTAAATTAAAATTTAAAAGTCAGCTTCACTTTTCATAAATGGGCTATCCAATGTATGGATACGTACCTAAATCTGCTGCTGCATGACTCACATGAAAGCAGTAGTGTGTGATTTCAAGTGTCAGTCGTTCTGCAACATTTTTCTCTTTCTAAAAGTCTGTCCTCTTCACATACTTTATTGCTGTTTTGCTCTGCCCTATATTTAGCTAATTGTTACATTTCCTAATTTTGATCTGGATAGAAATGTATATACACAGTTAATCCATAATTACTTGTACATCCAAAATTAATCTTTTAGACTAGAGAAGAAAAATGCAAACACCTTCCACCCACATTCCCCTGGAGACTAAGTTGGCCAAGTTCAATGAGCAAGAGACACTAGTTTAATGAAGGAGTACGGAAGCATGTGCTCTACATTTCAGAGATTCAGTATTTGGCTCGTAACTGCTGCTGCACAGGTCGGCCTTTTGAGTGTCAGGCAGGACAGTTTTGGCTGGGATGGAGCTCTGGCTTCACACTCTGGTCATATATGGATGCTGAACACATGCAGAAGAAATTAAGGACAGGGAGCTGATAAGATCCCACTTAACAAGCAGTGACTGAATAGGTTTACTGAAGGCATCCAGCTTGGATTTATAAATTATTACAGTCATTCTCTTTCAGCATTAAATCTTGACAAGGTCTTTTTCACCAGAGCTCCCAATCATTCTGTGGCAAGACTGACAAAGGCTGAAATTGTGACCTTCAAATATACAGACAAATTGCTGATCATCCTGCCAAAGGGCACTCGCAGGTAGCTCAGCACTAAATTTAGGCTGATTGAATATCTACCCCTTTACTTCTTACAGTAAGAAACCTGTGCCGTGTAAAACACAATACCTCAGGGATGAATAACACAATACGTCAGGGATGAGAAACAATACACTTCAGTAATTTTGGAAAATTTCTGTGTTTCTAACTATAAGAAGTGTAACCATACAGTCCATATTAACAAATGCCTGGGAGATCAAGAACCAAAAGAGGATTGCTTCTGATTCCCTTGCAAAAGCCGTCCAAGGAGGAGGGAAAAGATGATCCAGCTCATTCTTTCCTTGTGCAAAAATGGTGAGTAAAGGACTTTTCCTGTATTTGTCAAGTTCAGTAAAATTATATCAAGCATCATATTCAAAGAATCAGACAGTTTTAAACTACAATTCCCAGGAGTAATAATCAGGATAATCAGGTACTTCGAACCATATTCTTTAAATAATTTTATTTCTGTCTCAAAAAAAAAAAGTTTGTTTTATTTGTTAATTACACTTCTCTACACAAAGTAACCCTTGTGTCTTCCTATTAGGCTCATACCTGTCTTCAAGCTTTAGTGAACCCTGCCATTCACTGGGAACAAAAGCACCTACAGTTCCCGCTTTCATTGGCAGTTTCTTTTTACACTGGATATAAGCCAGACTCAAACTGTTTGAGGGGGGAAGTAGCAGACACACATAAGCCACTATTTATTTCCAGTCCTCATAACAAGACACCTGATACAAGCAAGATGAAGAGAAATGCAAGGATTCAGTGTATAAGCATGGGAACTCACAAGGGTGAAAGTTGGAAGGATGGCAGAAAAGGAAGGGGGAGGGTGGAAACACACTAATTTGTTTTTCAGCTCAAAGGTTCTTCTCATTTTTTCCCAGGTGACTGCACTGTTGTTGTGACACAGAGACCTGGACAGCTCAGGTGTGCTTAAATCACAGTGTGCTTAAATCACACTGATTTTTAACTAACAGTTCCAGGAAGAGGACCTTCAATCAGGAGAATTGATCGCTGCTGGTGAGCAAATATTTCTCATTCTTAACTCTCCTTTAGTACAGCAATGAGGTTTGGTTCACAAATACCTTACAAAGTTAGTTATACAAAAAGACAGTTGATAGATGCATAGAGATTAGCTAGCAAATGTTTGTTCTGGCAGAGAGTTGAAGGTAATCTATATGGTGTTATCTGTCATTGTTTTCTCTAAATCAATTAATTAATGTTGTATCATGTTGTATCAAAAATTCAGATTAAATTTAAACTGTCTCCATCTACAGCTCGATACATTATCCTTCCAAAACCCTACTGATTTTCAATAGAATGATAATCAAATATTAAGCTTCAGATAAATATACCTATGATTTGAAGAGATCTACACTTTGATTTTTTTATGAATACATAATGAAAGAAAGAACTGAATTGCACATTCCATGTCTGCCTTAGAAAGACATTATCTGGTGTGATTTCAAGCCATATCTATTTGTATTTAAATATAATTTTAACATGTTAATAGAAATGATAATTTGATTGTCAACAGCTAATTAGTAAACTGATACTAAAGATAGTTGCTGATTTTCACACAGAGTTGCTACAAATACTCATTTTTCAAGACTATAGTAGTATGGTGTAATGACCTGCTTTAGCTGACTGAAGTTAGTGGTTTGCACAAACATGGGGAAAACTTGAATGGAATTTTTGTTGAGGACATATTCAAATATTCTCATCCCCCAGACTTAACCAAAAATTACAGTCTCTCCTTAGGAAACACTGGAAAACTTCTCATTTTCTCATTAAACATCAATAATCTCCAGTCATCACGTTACTGAGCATAATAAGTAAGCTCCAAAGGAGACTCCTTTCTAAAACTCAGTCAAGAGTAGCCAACAAGAATGATCCTAGGGGAGTGTGAAACAAAGAACAACTCTACAGTTGTGATGCCATGTGTGGGTAAAGGGAATCGTTTTGGGACAAGACTGAAGAGAAAAATATTATAATGAATATACTGATTATTTTAGAAACATAGGGAAATTTTTCAGAAATATAAGATTCTTACTACAAGATGATATTTTTTCCTAAATTTTTGCATATTTTAATACACAAATTTTTCTCCACATGAATAGAATGCTTTTCTCAGATTGAGATTGCCAGTTATTGGAAACTTTTTTTTTTAACTTGTTCACAAGAAATTTAACTGCTAACAATGATTCTGCAATGTTAAGAGATTCATTAAAGCATCACTTTTCTTGCTTTTCAGTCCTAAAAAACATGAAGCCTTTTCTTTTGCCAGTGCTCAGAGTCATAATTCTGCACTGAATATCATTCCTCCAAAAAATGGAGTCTCTACTGAGAACTGATAAGACTGGGTAGTATTCTGGGCTATATGCATTACATTTTTTAACTCAGTTGAAACCATCAAGTATCCACCTGAATATCACAGTTTTCATGCCTAAATATGATTGCACTGGACCGAAAGACCTATTAATTAAAAAAAAAAATTGGATTTTTAATGCCTTTCCTCAACTCTTCCTTCTGTTCTCTGACTTTTATCAAGGACAGATGTTACTGAATTTCTTGTAATGATCTTTGTCAGGAAGAGAATACTAAAGCAGCCAGGAGCATAGATGAATTGTTTTATTCAGACAGACTTCAGCTGAAAGTCAGTGTAAAAAAAAGCTGTGAAGAATAGGGAAATTTTTCAAGTTTTCATTGTGAGAAACTGCTGAAAATTTCTTTGATATTTATCTCACAGTCTTTAACGTCCTGGTTCACAGAGTGCAGACCTTTAAAAATTATGGTAATTTCGACATTTTGGATGGATTTGCCAATTTAAAATGTACTATAGTTGGAGGCAAATATTTGCCAGTTTTCCTATTTGATTAATGAGGATATCATGAGACATCTTTTGCCAAAAAAAAACCTAATATAAAAAAAAATCCCATGCTGTTATGTTTCACTGAAATTAAGAAACCTATAGCACTGTCTTGAAATTGTCATGATCCAGTGTTATAACATTTGCTAGTCCATAAAAATCAAATGAGAACAGTCCCCTGCAGCCTAATTCTGACAGCTGATAGCAGTGTTTCACTGTAAAATTAAGTACTTCCATTTTGCATTTTTCTCACAAAAGCAGGCGTTTCTAGAGCTAACCAAAGCTGTCTCTGAAGTATAGATTGTTAGAATGCCACTAACACATTGATTTACACTGTGGGAGGTGACAAATCCATGTGACTAAAGTTGTTGCTTTGTTTTCCAGTTTCCTTGCTGCATTGAAAGGGAAATAATGCTCCATTCAACATTGGCCTTATCCCTTCTGTTAATTGCAGTCACTTCCAACCTTGCAATGGCAATTAAAAAGGAAAAACGAGCACCTCAGACACTGTCAAGAGGTATTGTATATTTATTGTATGTAGTTACATCCTTACCTCACCATATGGGCCAGCAAATATTTTTCTTTCAAATGTACATTCACATTTACCAAGGTGCATTTCTCTAGTGTTAAGTGACACTCTGAGTAATGCATGTTTGTATTTTATGTCATTTCACTCCACCACTTTATTCTTAAGGTTATGACTGAGGGCCTCATATAAGCTGCATAATTTATGTAACTCACATTGACCCAGCAGAAGCAAATAACCCAAACTGAGTCTCTCAAATCAGGATGTATTTGTAGGACTATCAGTGAAAAAATATTCTTTCATGTGCCATTTGAAAGATATTTTATTATGGCAACTTAGCAACTGCTGAAACAGTTTCATAATTTCAGTTGCTATGGGACAATTTTTCTACAGACCCATTTTTCTACACAAAACCATTTGAACCATTGGTGTGGTTTTCTGTGTGACTTTTTTTTTCCGTTTAATTTTAATCAGATATCCACTGCAAAGCATGACTGTGAGTAATTCACTTCCTCTTGGTGCATAACTTTCAACCTGGTTGTTAAATAAAGACCCTGTTTCAAGTAATTTATGTCTGACCAATCCTTAGAAATACGAGTAGAAAAAAAGCTCAGCAAGCTCTTTCCCCCTTCTCCATATTCCATCTCCTTTTGGAACTATTAAGCACAAAATATCTCCATCTCCCTTCCTGACCTCTTCTACAAACTGCAAAGCTTGCAGATCCCACAGCTCACCTCTGAGGTTTCCCTATTCTAGCAAAGTTGCACTTGTCACAGAGGTTCCATCTGAGCCTAATTGCTCCAAGACCACTTGACAAAATCATGCAACACCTGGACTATCCAAAGAGAAATTTCAAATGACTTTTTGTAAGCAGTATCCTGGGGGAAAGTTTATAATCAACCCAGTATGTAGATTAGGATTTATTGTTCCCACTAAGCCTGAATGCACAGGAAGATAGCAAAAACTCTTACATTCTGGTGGTTTTGGAAAAAAAAGCAGTGACAGAAAGCAGGTGTTACTTTTCTAATTCTGATTTCAGGCCCTTCTGGATGCCTTGCACACTTTACAAGTAATTTTCACAGATCAAAGGGGAATACTTAAACCTGCTCGAAAATGACTCCTACTCCTCTGTGTAGATGCCTTCATTAGCAGCTGACTGCAGCCAGGGTTGGGAAGGCACTGGTCAGCATGCCAGAATCCCATCATCAGGCAGAAATATCTGTCTACTGAAAGAAGAGGTGATGCAGTAGAATCACAAGCAATTGTCCTGTGAGAAATCTAACAGCAAATCTGGGCTGGTTCAAGCACTGTCCAGACTGCACAGAAGAAACAGAGCTCTAACCTGGTCCAGATCCAGCAACTGTCTACAATTCCCATGAGGGCTGTCATGAATGGAGCCACACTGCCTAGGATACAGGGATCTACTACAGAGGGGCTGACACCTTTGGGAGCTGAAGGCGTAAAACCAACTGGACAATTTCCTTTTTGAGATCTGTGCTACGGATGAGCTATGAAGCTGATGATCTATTGGGATTTTGTTTTGGTGGAAACTTTTATTTAACAGCCATTCTTTTATTAAATTATTTAATTAAATTACATACTTGCAACTCCAGGGATTGAAGTTCATTACTTTGGAATGAAATTTATAACCCTAGACTGTTCTAATGACATTCATATTAAAGCTGATCTTATTCAAGCTGTCATATTTTATTTTTCTCTTTTTTATATGCCAGCTTCTCTTTAAGTCCCAGGGTCAACAGGAAATATGGAGCAGACAACAAAAAGATATAAAGGATTTGGGTGCTCATTTAGGGACTTCTGAGCATTTAGAAAGATAGCCAGCTAGTCTATCAAAGAACCTGAGCTGGATACACAACCAGCTGAGATTTTTTGGGGGGTTGGTTGTTTGGCTGGGGTTTTTTAATCTTTCAATGTACCTATCAGGAGATGTAGAATTAGTATATCCATAATGTCAGAGAACCTTTGACTAAAAAATCCAAATCTTATTTGTGTACAAGTGTTGATAAATATTAAAAAAAGAAAGGAATTTGTTATTAGTTACTTTCCTGGCCACCAGCTAATCCGCTTGTTATACTTCTAGGGTGGGGAGATGAAATTACCTGGGTACAAACTTATGAAGAAGGGCTTTATCAAGCAAAAAAAAGGTAAGAGATTAAAAAGTAGTATGAAGGCAAAGTTGTTACTCTGATATGCTGGAATATACTATAGTAAAACAGAACAAAGAAACACCGTGACAGCTGATCTGCAGACCACCCAGTTAAATAAAACAGACTGTGTCTATAAATAAAAGCCCTTGTAGGGACCTTATGACTCTGAAGTAACATTATGGGCTGACAATGTAATGCTGTCATTTCTTTGTCACAAGAGCAGTGTTGTCATTTTAATTAACAATGATAAATAGATACCATAATTTTTTCAATTACATCTGTTGTGTTTTAATATCATGTACCTTTGATTACTTCTTTGAAATCAGTTGCATTTGTTCTTGCATGGAGATATGCTGCCTCTGATGTTTTCCCCAACACTTTATTAGTTGGAATATGTCCATGATATACTCACAGTTTCTCACTGTCTTGGTAGAAATGGAAGTTCCAATCTGAATTTTCTCTGGAACTCTGCTGAAAATATATTTGAGAATTCATAACAACACCTATTCAAATATATTTTACAGTTCATTTTAAATCACAATAATGTAGCATCAGCTATTGCTAAATTAAAGGCAAATTATTTTTAAAATAAAAGAGGATTGATATCATGTATCACAGGTGAAAGTGGCTAGAAACTAACAACTCTTGACAGTGATAGCAGATCAAGGATTAGTAACTGATTTGCTGAACAGTAAATATAGTTTAAAAAAATACAGGAGAAAATGCAGAGAATTTTTTTTTTGACATTCAAAATATAAAATTTTGATACTTTACCACAATATTTACAGAAAAAAAATAATATACTGTATATCTGTTCAAGAAAACTTAAAGCACATGGGAAGTATTCGATGATAAACCAAATCTTATAAAAATTATTTTATTCCTGTTCATACAGATTATTTTAATTTTCTTAATCATGGAGAACTTCATACCCAAGCAACATTAAATAGCTCTTCAGTTTGATTATTTATTATCTGGGAATGAAATTATGGAGGAACTGTTGTTTCTTTCTTCTAGAATCTCTTACTATAGACAACCTATTTAGATGTAGAAACTCTATTTTTGTATTTCTCTTTTATGAAGTATTTATGCTCCCTTCCCTTGCTCAAAAATATCAGTAATACTTTACTGAATGTCTGTATGGTTTTACTGTGGGGTAACATGGGATTAAACACAACTTGCCTTTTTCAGTCTGCTAGTAAAATCATCCGTTTGCCTACTTGTCAAATCATCTAACTACATTTTTTATTCTTATTAATAAAGTAACAAGCCACTGATGGTAATTCATCATTTGGAAGACTGTCAATACTGCCAAGGTAATTTTGATTTTTTGTATGTTATAATGTTGTGAATATTTTTATAAGAAACTGAACCTATCCATATATTTTCCTTACACTTAGGAAAATTATCTAAAGAAACAGGCAAATGAAAATGTATCTGAAAATTGAAGAATTTATTACTGTTATTTACAAAAACTCCACTATGAAACTACCCAATAAAGAACATGAAAAATACTCAGCGCTGCTGTACTGCTATCCCAAATGCAGCACTCATCAGTTTAAATTAAGAGGCACAGATTTGCTACTGACTCATTAAACAGTTTTAATATTGTTTGGGTCTCCTGAACTGGTAACTAAAGAAGGAGGCGAGGATAGGGCTGCTGAAATTGATCTAACAAGAATTTTCTGAGAATAATGCACTTTTGTCAAGCCAAGACATGGTATCCATTGAGATGACAGGCTTCATAAATAACAGAAGAGAGCTTCCATTTTCACAGCTGGGAGGTTGTACTGCCATAGGTCAAAAAACCCCCAAAAGCAGTCATGGAGCCCTTAAGTGTCTCCTCAGGAATGTGAATCAGCAGAGTCAGGAACAATGTGGCCAGTCTCTGGCCAATATGGTGTCCAAACGCAGACAGAAAGGCAGAGTTTGAGATGGACTTCAAAGTTTATCCTGTCTTTTCTAGCGTTGAAGAAAGCTTTTGCAGAAAATGAAGAAATACAGGAAATGGCCCAAAATAACTTTGTTATGCTGAATCTCATGGTATGAAGGGTTTGGGGCGATTTAACTGATATCTTTTTATGGTCTGTGTTTTCTCTTTCTTAGTCTTGCTTTTTCATGTCATTTTAGCTAATATCTCTGGCATTTTAGTTATATAAGTAGAGGCATTTGTGCATGTGTATTTGCATACAAGTAATACCTATCCAGTTTTTTCCTCTGGTACAAGGTTATTCGCAGGTGGTACTACTCAGTAAAATATACAGAAGTATTTTAATAACTAGCTTTCATTTTTCTGCCAGCATGAAACCACAGATAAAAACCTGTCACCTGATGGACAATACGTGCCTCGAATCATGTTTGTAGGTATGTACAATATTTATGTATCTTCAAGGATGTGATATCTGAATTATGCCAGTGTTCTCCTTTGGGGACATCAGAATCATTAATTTTGCAAGAGGTAAACAGATCGTTGCCTCTGTTGCATACTTTGACCCTTGTAAACTTCCTTAAATTAGAGATGTGTTCTGGAGGGTACCTAATTTTGACCTGGGGACAAGATGCTTAAAAATCTATTAACATCTGGGCTTTTGCTCTTCGTGCTTCTCGCTAGTGCTGTTACAAGACAAAGTTCACTGAAAAAGTCGAATATCTGACTGAATGTAGATGTCTATAGTGTGGATATTACCACAGAATAAATCAATAGTCAGTGGCATCTAAGGAACGATTTATCCCATTGTAAAGTAGACTTCTGGAATGGATCAAATTAATTATGCCCCAGAGTGCCTGTTCATTTTCACTGATTGAACAGGAAGCCTAGAGTGACTAGCTCTTTGGTGGCAGCCAAAGTTCAGTGAGATGAAGCCCACACTCAGACAGAGAGCAGTGCAGTTACAGGAGTCAGTTAATTACCAAAAATTTTGGAAGGGAAACTGGAAGAAGATATGTCCACAATAACCTGTTCCCATGCTGAGAACATTAAGAATCGTGAGATTTTGGTTCTGAAGTCTCTAGGTAGCTCATGCTAATATTGTTTTAGGAATGCATGACCCTCACTGTGTATGCATCCAGCCAAATTAGCTTCTCCTGATGTAAACCCAGAACTTGTAAAACAGGATATTTTCCTTTAAATATGGATGAAATGCATGTGTAACCTAGCACTTAAAAATAGCTACATAATATAAAAATAAGTACAAGCTTTTGTTCAGGATTTCTCCAAGTAAAGAGCAGTTGGCTGGAACAGAGTGTAACGGCCTCGTAATTGCCTCGTTGATGATATCAGAAACAGGGCTGACAAAGCAGAGCCACACAGTCACCCACAGCTGTTGTGGGAATGGAAGGCAGTGATTAATACAATTACTTTTTCAGACCCATCTCTCACAGTACGAGCTGATATCACAGGAAGATACTCCAACCGGCTTTACACGTATGAACCACAAGACATACCATTCTGTGAGTGCCCCCTTTGTTGAGTTTGCATTTCACATTGTAAGCAGCCGGATACCCCATCCCAGTCATTTGTGCGTGAGAATCCATTAGGATCTCAAAGTAAAGAATAAATACTGTGGGTGAGCATTTGCAATAAATTATAATGGTCTAACCTGTTCAAGCAAAACAATCACACCTATTGTCCCATTGAATTTACTGGGGCTACTGAGGCAAGAAAAATCGAAAGATCGTGGGTGAGAACTTTCAGGATCAAGATCTGAGCAGTTTGCTGAAGAACAGTGAAAGTTATACTTATGCAAGTCATACTTGGACGTTCAAAAGTATCCAACTGCACAATATAAATAGCCAGTGGTGGGAGGGAATCAGTAAAGAAATGCTGGTGCTTACCTCGGTATCACCTAACACACATATTTCAGAAAGGAATGTGATTTTTCAGGTTCAACCAGTCCTCACTCTATACCATCTATCTGACACCAGTGCGATATCTCACCACAAATATGCACATCACATCTGATTACCAGGCTTGCTCTTGAGAAATGAGGGAGTTGAAAGGGGCCTTGTCAAATCCCTTTAAGTTAAACATTCTAATTCATTAAACTTTTTACCTTCTGCTTTAGGAACAATGCCAGAATTTTCACAACAGAAAGCTCTAAAATATAATGTGTGACCATGAATTAATTTCAATGTGAACAATTTACTAAATCAAAGTAGGAAGGGGGGGTTTAATTGTACAAATGCACTTTTAATATATTTTTACAGTTCTTATTTATTTTTCTTTCAGTAATAGAGAACATGAAGAAAGCACTACACCTCATTCAGACTGAACTGTGACCAACAACAGTGAAATTACCACAACCTCTACGAGGTGAAGCTGCACCTCTGTCTCTACTAGAATTTTGAACTCTTACCAAGCAGTTTGGTATATCAGATTTCTTAAGAACAATTTGGAGAACAAATACAGAAAGACTATCAAACTCATTTGCAAAACAAGAAGATAAATATATTAAACACTTTGAAATTAGTTATCTGAATAACTGAAAGTGATGGTTTAAGGTGCGGCAACTTTGATCTGTATTTTATCAATCCAACTCTGACCCTATTAAGTCAGCTATGACTTCTGACTAGGAATTATAAACAATCTTTTGGATCTCTATTTGCAATTTATTACATAAGTGAATAGCTGCATGTTGACTCTCCATTTTAATTTTTATTGCAAGAAGTTTGTTAGTTGTTAGTGTACCTCTGCTTTATACATTTATTTCTTGTTAAAAGAAAATAAACTTTGGTGTCAAATCAGACAAGAAAGCTCTTCTGATAGATTTTGGAATAGGTTATGCAGAAAAAAACAGTGATCTGGGCTTAGCTTTCCCCTGTATAATCCTTTAACTATTGTTCCGATAGCTGAAAACAGGACAGACATTCCAGACTGAGCATGTGGTCTCAGTGAGGTGATAACCATCAAAGAGCAACTACAGGTTTTGCTATGATAAAGATACAGTGAAGCAAGAGAGATGGAAGGAAATAGTCACAGAACCCCACTCTTAAGTGAGGATAAGTGATGCTTGTAAAGTCTCGTATAGGAAAAATGAGGAGGCTTTTCCTAGCTCTTTTCATTCAAATGGTGTGCTTGAGTCATGGGAAACTCATCCCAGGTCGTTCCCTCTTTCTGTAGCGTTCCACTATGAAGGTGGCAGTTTATTGAGAGTATCTGTAAATACAAGGCCTTTGGAAAATTTCCCTATGCAAGGGTGGACACCTGTTTGAATAAAAAGCTGAAGTAGTTTATTATCCCAGCAATGTAATTTTTTGTTAGAGCAAAATAGTCATCAATTCACCTGCAGCAGCACCATGTATGTTGTGTGACATGCAAAACACCAGTGTCATTCGTGCTACCTGCCGTTTCCTATGGGGCTGCCTGAATACATACATAAAAGATGAAGGAAGGACTTCTGCAGCTCAGCCTTGCTAATTTATAATACCTAGTAGTTATTTGTCATAAATTAGTTATATTGCACCTATCTATGTCTTCAGAATTATTTAAAATTTGGATATAAGTGTATATTCCAACAGAGTGGTGATAAATTACCTGTACATGAAGAGGAAAAAATTACTGTATTAGTCATTAATAATAACAATATCTTAATAATCAGTTAAATTATTTTTTTAACCTATAGGGAAAATGCTAGAAGTAAAATTAAACTGGAAATCACATTCCTTTGATTTGTGTTTAGCTCTACTCATTTTTGTCTTTATCTATTCCAGATTTGGCAACATTTCCCAGTCTGTAGGCATTGCTCTTGCAGGCATGGCAGTGATGTTCAGGAGAAAGGGATGTGAGCTAGCTGCCAGAGATGACACAGGATAGTCATGACAGCCACTCAGCCTCCTTTTCTCCAGGCTAAACAACCCAGTACCCCCAGCTGCTCCTCATGACACTCATGCTCCAGATCCTTCACCAGCTTCGTTGCCCTTCTCTGGACACGCATCTGCCCTGCTGGCCTTCCTCTCAATTCTCACCAATAAACACTCAACCCTATCATCAACATCATCAAGCTCTAGACAATCAAAAAACTCTCCAAAAAATAGGCCTGCCCCACCACCTCTCCTTCCTTGCCTGTCCCTTTTGAAGAGCTTATAGCCATGCATTGCAGCACTCTGGTTGTGCAAGTCATCCCACCATGTTTCCATGGTGGCAACCTACACCATAGTTTCCAGCTTCACTGTCTTCCAGCTCTTTCTATTTGTTGCCCATGCTGCATGTGTTGCGTAGATGCACCTCAGTTGGGCTACTGATCCTGCCACATTTTTAGGGGAGAAGTCCTGATCCCTACATGACCATTCTCAGGCACTTCCATATTTTCTAACACATCAATAACCCTTGTGTCTTTGCTGCTTCGTGGATCTCCATTCCTTATCTCCACTGAGACCAAAGGACCTTGCTAGCACACTGTCCCTCAAATATTTGTGAGCCACTACCAGGCTTATCTCTAGTGAACATGGTTTTATCCCCTTCAAATCTATTTTAAAATTCTCTATTCCTTTAGTGGATTCACTCATAAGCAAAGAGATGTCTGTTAAGAATCCACAAAGCTGGAATCCCAAAAGATTTGTGATACAGAACCACGGTCCAGAACTTGCTTGGGCTTGGGAAAGCTAAACTCCATAGTCTGTCTTACCTCAGTGCTGCAAGAGAAAATAAATTGTAGAATTACCATTTATTTGGATTGTGGAAGAAACAAGCAATGAAAGGCCTGGGCCTAAAAGGCTACTGTTGTTTTGCTTATTTTTGACATTTAATATTGAGTCAGCAATTAGGAAATAAATTGTGTGAATGAAATAAAATAAATAACCAAATTTTCAGAATAATACATTGATTACCTACTTCATTGTTGAACAAAAGTTAGTCTTTAGATCTACACTGCAATGCATGTTATTTTAACATTTGAAGAAAATCTGGATGAATTTCCAAAGGTATTATTGATACTGATTACACCTATAATCTAGAACAATATTTTCTACTGAAATAGAAGTTTGTAACACTTTTAACAAACCACTCATTCAAGCAGAGAGCAGCCACTTTCCAGAGATGTCACAGGCACATAAGTACCACTGGGTCAGATGAAATCTCTTTGGTGAGTGCCTAAGGGGGATTTCACCCTCTTCTTTCCTTTCTAAAATCCCTGTAGGTAGCTGGCTGAAATCTGTTCTCGGCCTTCCAAAATGAGACTAAATTTGTGTGATTCTTAAAGATTCAGATCCAGTCCTTTTGGTGGAGCTAGATATTCAGGTAAAAAAACACCCTGTATGTTGCACACGTACTTTTTATTCACAGTTTCATTCAACAATCATCCTTAATTTTAGAGCTGTGACTGTATTTCTGTCTTCTCCTCTTTGAAGACTGTTTTGCCAGGTAATATTTCTCCTGATGGAACAGACACTCAGATCTCAGATTAAAGTCCCATTGCTCCAGGAGAAGATAATAAGACTGTAACCTGTGCAATAACCTGTGCAATTCTTTCACCTTTTTTCTTCTGAAATAAACGGCATAATAAATGGCATGACACACTAGTCTCTCTTTTCTTCCCTTTCTATCTGCTTGCATGCCACACAGATTTATTCACAATATTAGTGGGCAGAGTTTTATTCATATTCTTTACTTCTCTTTTTCTTAAGAAAGAATTGGAAACTGTTCCTTTTGTTCCTTGGTTATCTGGAACTAAACCAACTGGGTTTGTTTAACCTCCATTGTTTGTGTTAGAGCTGAAGGAGGAGAAAACAAGACGGAAAATGTGGATGTGAGAGCAGAAGTTGTTTTACACTGAATAAATTCAGTCACAGCATAAAGATCAATAGCTGAGAAAACCTACCTGTGCAGACTGTGTGCTTTTACAGAATTCATATCCTGTATACTATACGTTGGATGTTAATGTTAACAGGAGCATAATACAGTATCACCTGTGGATGTACATGTTTTACACAAAAAGACTTCTCTGAGTTCTGCCTTTACTATGAACACAACACAGTCTGGGAAACAAACTTTACTGCCACTTGTTCACATATCCGTGTCTATTTTACTGTCTGGACTTATCTGTTGTAATCAGACCAAGAGTGGTCAAACAAACGTGGACTTAACGTCAGTGAGGTGAGGCACAGGAATCTGAGAACTGACAGAACAGGATCCTCCCCTATGTATCCGTCTCAGCGCAGAAAGGCGTTGCCTTTTCCAGGCAGATGGCTGATCTATTGGTCTGCAGAGCTAAAACATTTTCCCATGTGCAAATATTTGCGCTTGACCAGAACAAAAGAAAGGCACCATACCTTTGTGTACCATGGAGGTGAGAGACTGTGGGACACCTCAGCACTTAAAATGCAAAAGTGACTTGATCTTGCAGAATAAGACTGATATAATTTGACTTGTTTCATGTACTACACGTGTTCTTGCCAAAAGCTGACACAGAGAAATTTCCAAATGCTGAGGTGTCCTCCACAGGGTCAGCCAAGTCATAGATCTGCTTCCTTTTATTTGTTCCTTTGTTCAAACGGATGTACAGATCTACAGTATGATTCAGGTGGAAATAAATAGTCTGTGGCAATTAAAAAGCCCAAAACCACCAATCAGAAGGGGAGGAATATTTACGTTTTCATCAGAAAATCTACAGAATTTGCAGTCTATATAGTTATTACTTTTCTTTGACATTCAAGGTTCTCATGTTCATCACTTGACATCTTTAGTTGTTACCGTGTGTTGTAAAGTCACTGACAGTCAGTAAAAGTGAATCTTTCAGCAAACTGTTTTCACTTAGGAGGTATTGGATATTTCCTATCTCTTCAGAATAAGAAAAGACACACAAAAACAACAGCTTCTCCTATCATTGTATAATACGAAAGAACCCAAATACAGTGGAGTGTATGCTGTCATACTGCATTTTGACATTTCCCAATAATTTCAACTACAGCTGTTCTTAGTAGACATTCATCAAGTCACCCTTTGTACATGTCTAAGTATGACTTGTGAGGATGAGAAAAAATATCATATGCAATAATTTTTCAAGGTTATAACATTCATGTGACAACACTCCTCATGGGGTGTTTTGGTGCTCATACTTGGTCATTGCTTCAGGAAAGAGCCTAAAAGTACTTTAAAAAGATCTACTGTGTCTTCTGTTACCTTTCTGAAGTATCACTTTGCAAACCCTGGCTACATGTCCTCAAGTGAGTGTTTGTAAAAGGTTGGTACACATGAACCCACTCTGTTATTTAGGGTTCAGCCAGCTGCAGAGAAACAAGTTCACAGATATATACAAACCACTGGCTTCATTGCTTATGTTCACATACAGGGAAGAGGACAGGGACTGCAGGGAGAAGAAGTTATACCCTAAGGTGAGGATTATTGTACAGGATGAAAAGAACAGGAGCCTTGCTCTGCTAAGGAGTTTTTTTTTGCTCCAAGCCTACAAGCAGGTGCG